AGATTCGTTCTTTCCTGTCCCATATCCGAACCAGCATTTTCTGCTAATACTGACCCTACAGCGAAACCTATCGATACTGATGACCGCTACTGTTCTGACGAGCAAAAACAGCAGAACACATGCACCTTTTTCTAGTGTGTCACCATTCATAGAGTAAAACAACTAGACTCACTCTTGGAGACACTGTTCACAACAGCAATATTCTTAGAGGAGTGTTGGAGATTTGCTATAGTGACAGAGATCGCAACAGTGACACAAGCTACTACATCAAATGAAAGGAGACATTCATGTGATTACAGGCAGAACCAGAAGCTCCTCAGTGCGATAGAGAAAGACCAAATTAATATTAATGAGAACATGGGGCTATAATTAACAACCTTATTACAGAGAGGGAGAGAGAGAGAGAGAGAGAGAGAGAGAGGGAGAGAGATACCATATAGACAGAGACAGAGAGACTGGAGTAGTGTGTGCTTGACTGAACTAATTCAGGATGACAGCGAAGCCATTTACTCAGAAAACAATGTGTCGGAATGACCTACTCAACCCACTCAGACGCCACAGCTACGGGGAGATAGAGAGAGAAAGAGAAAAAGAAAGAGAGGGACAGCATGAGAACTGCTGATTGAAATCAAAATGAAAAAGGACAGTGAGGACAGCCACCTACGGAGAAAGACAAAGGACATAACTAGTGGAAACTTGTCCAGACAGAGAAACCAGCATGAATCTATGTATACGTTCTCATAGTGGAGGGTTGAACTGAATGAACGGCTGGCTGGCCAAAGCAGGACGTGTGTGTGTGTGTGTGTGTGTGGTGTGTGTGTGTGTGTGTGTGTGTGCGCGCACGTGTCAGTCTGTCTGGAGAGCTGTACTGTACAGTCCCTGCCTCCATCTGTTCTCTGGCTGCCCAGAAGCTTGCTAAGCTCCAAACGCTTCTCCAAGAGCAGAGTCCTCCCTCCTGCTCTGCCCCTCCTCCTACACACTCACACGGACCACTGCAGAACCACCCGCGACAAGCAGGACTGTAAAGGTCTGACCTCACAATGATTTGATCATGATTCATTAGGATTCAGTTCAATGCATCATGAAATCTCACATTTTAATATGATTCGATTCAGTGGTAATTCTGAACAGATCATTAAATCTGAAATTTTACCACAATCTGATTCAGCCATGATCTTTAGGAAACAATTCAATGCATCATAACAAATCAAATCAAATTACGATTCAATACAATTAAGTTCTATTATGATTCTTTAAAAATCCATTCAATAATGATTCTCTACAGTTCAATTCAACAAAGATTATTTTCAATTTGATTCAATTACAGTTCCTTAAAGTGAGTCAATTGAAATTCAATTAAGATCCTTTACAATACACATCAGTTATGAATCTTCACAATTTAATTCAAAAACAATTCTTTATAATTCAATTTGTTTCTTCGCAAATCGATTCAAGTGATTCTTTACCATTTGATTTGGTTACAGTTCTTAGCAATTCAATTTAATCACTATTCTTTAAAGTTTGAATTGTGATCCTTTACAATTCGATTTACCTACAGTTCTTTATCATTTGATTCAGTTTAGATTCTTTACCATTTCTCAAGACCCACAAAGCCTCAAATTCCAGCAGAATTAGATTTAAGAAACAATAAATGCAATACAAGTCTCATAATTTGCCACAAAAAAAATGTAAATGCACATTAAAAAATGTAAATGCAGTTAATTAAATGTCTCTCTTATTTCATCTCCCATGTACACTCTCTTCTCTCACCCTCTCTCTCTCAAGTGGAGTGCTACAGCTAGATTAGAGGACCTCTGAGCTTCTCTGAGGACCACTGGGGACCCCATCACTGACCAGTCTATGCCCACTCGCAGTGCCTCTCGGTCAGCTGCGGCTCCATTGCTTTTAGCCTGATTGAAGAGCCCTCTGAGGTCCAGACAATCAAGAGGCCCACACAGTGGGCAGAGGAGAGGCTATCGCAGGAGAGGGTCAGTGATGCTAAAGAGTGCTCTCTGTGGATTTGAAGAAGTGTTTGGATGGACAACATGAGAGAAAGAAAAAAGAAAAGGACGCCCTACTTGGGCTGGTTAGGGATGCGCCCTTATTCCCACCTCTGAACAGGAAGCAGTTATTAATAAAATAAAAAAAATAAAAAAAGCAATGTAAACTTCTGATCTCACAATGATTCAATTAATAATTCTATATCTTACTCTATATATTATTTCACGTTCTTGTTCATCAGTGTTCTCTTACAAAAATATTCAGCATACAGTAAACAAAAACATCAAATAACCATTGGGAATCCCTGTAGAGTCAACCAACCCTGACAACTAGTCTAGCCACTGATCTATAGGCTAATAAATACAACCAAGCTGGCATTAGTGCAGCTCTTGCCTCAGCTGTGAAACAAAAAACGTTAAGATAACAGCGATTCTATCTTTGTATGCAACAAAATGGATACCAGAGATCAGCTTTTTACCCTTTCAGATGCAAAGAAAGGAGCCAAACCGAGGCAAAAGTATCTAGATAGCCAGCTACTTTGCTCACTTTTAGTCTGTCCTCCTCATATGATGAGTTATTTCTGTATCTTGAGTAATTTTCTCTCCACTATAATGACAGTTATATGGTTGCAAAAAAGAACACATTTAAAAACATCTCACACTCAAAAATGCACCCCAAAATTGCAGTTTTTCAAAAGTTCCACCCTCAAGATACATCATTAGAAGTTATATTTTCCATTTTAGGCAGAGCGTCCTTTCAAATGCTGTATTTAAATAAAACCACAGCAAAAAAGATTCAATTTTCAAAATTGAAGAAGAGAGCATACGTTATTGATTATAATCAATTAGAACCAATTATAGCATTCCAAAACTGTGAGCTTCACCTTCAGATCATTGCATCACCAAGTGTTGGCTAATGGTGAAGAGAATGAATGTAAGCACATAATAATAATAATAATAATAATAATAATAAAAAAAGGTAGTGTTGACTCTGCCCTTAATTCATTTTGTGTGTTCTTCTCTTTTTTGGGTGAAATAATCAATGAGGAGTGATAAAGTAAGCAGTATCTCTAAGCGTAGTAGTATCATTAAAATGCTAACGATTGCCATCCCTAGTGCTGGCCCATCTTTCCAGGAGCGAAGGAAATATTTTAAAGAAGGAGCCGAGGAGAGGACAGGAGAGGAGAAGAGAGCATAAGTAGCATAGCTCATGAAATACAAAGCTCCATTATAACTCCATCTCCATCTTAAATCTTCAAGTACCCTCTTCATCTCTCTCTCTCTCTCTCTCGCTCCTGGGTATTGGCCACAGCCTGTCCTCCATTTCACATCTCAGTGAATCCATCATGTGATGCCTCAGTGGTCTCTTCTGCCTCTACCAATCTCCCTGCACCTCCCCCTTCCCCCCCCACTCACACATATATACACACACACATACACAAAACATAATGAAAATGTCAAAGAGCGAGTCTACCATATGTGAATATGGAAATATCTACTTGCTACATACAGTGCTTGGTTAGCTGTAGCATATGAGCCATGTCAATCTAAATACAGGACGGAAGCAGATAGTTCTTCAGTCTTCACCATCCCGTAACATTTGAATAATGCTGCCAAGATCTTCTACCCTTACTGAGCCCGTAGGGATCAAAATGATTCATTCTCCACTCGCATCTAAAATGATGTTGGTGCATTTCAAGAGCTAGCAATGAACATTACCAGCTGCATAACCACATGTCTTCAAACTGCGTGGCGGAAACTGGACAGTTAGAAATGAAAGGCTGCTGAAACCATTCAGCCTCAATTTCAAATAAAGAATAGTTGATTTACAAAAGAAAAAAATGAGACCAGTTGGGTTAATACAACACAGAGACACACATATACACCCGAAAACGATGATACACAAATTTGTTTTCAAGGAAAGGAAACAATATTAAATGCATATTGTATTGTTTGTCTGGGTAAGTCAAAAATTACTTATCAACCTTGCTGAATGAATCTTAGGCCCCAGGTCACTACATCTATATTAGTACAACGATTCCTTATTTGATTAGAAGTCAACTGAGATGAGGAAGATCAGTGCATAAAAGGCAACAGACATTCTAAGCAGTCTAGACTGATTTTAACTAACACACTTTACCAAATGCTCATGGTGTCAACCATGTACACTTATGGTCACCCACCCTCCACCTAATAGACAACCTTCAAATAGAGCCCACTTCTATATGAATGACGTGCCATACCTGGTCTGGCTTTATTAACCTTGATTAGCTGGAATAAGGGTGCGAGAGATACAATGCAGGAAAGCAAATCTCCAGAGGGCACAAAGCATGATTTCTAAGTTATCCTCTATAACCCAAAGCAGTTTTCACTAAATCTCCCCTTTGAAATCTACTTTCCTGCAGAGTTTTGTCCCAACCTGCATCTAACCTGCTGCTCCTCCTTACTTAACACTAATGCATCTGACCCAGCCAATCAAGAACTTCTGAAGAAGATCATTAGCTAGAACAGGTGTGGCAGATTGTGGTCGGAACTAGACTCTCCAGAACCAGGGTAAGTGAACACTGATTTAAAGGGACACTCCAGTCAGTACAGGAAAAATCTGCCCCAAAAATCCCCCCAAAACAGCTACAGTCTTTGAAAAGTTCCTCCTACCTACAAGACACATAATTTCACAATTTCATAAGAGGGCAGAGACATTCCTGTAGGAAAATCCTTACTTTGAGCTAAAGTTATGTTGCTAATTAAAAAAAATCCTGCATTATGAAGTATCACCAGTAAAGACCACTGCCACACAAAGCCCATTATCACATTCACAAAAGGCACCGACAGCCCATTTTCACTAAAATGGAACAGAGAAAATCCAAGGTCCAGGAAACAGACAGCTCACAGCTCCGTTCCCAGAAAATGCTAGCTTCCTGTAGGCTAAACAGGGAAATTCCTCAACAGCACAGTCATGGTGGGATGGCAGAAGAGCCAAGCACAGGGGGAACGCCTTACCTTCTTCAAACGGCCAGTACGTGTACCAGTGAAGACCACAGTGTTGCCGCGGTAATCGTAGGCCGCCACTGAGGTCATCCCGTCATCCTTATCTATGAAGAGCGGAATGCCCTCGATCGTGCTGGTGCCGCCCAGAGGCTGGTTGAAGTCCTGCCCGCAGAAATTATCATCGATCTGCAGAGGCTGCAAAAGAGAAAGAAGGAAGGTTAGGGCATGTGAACAAGTCATTCTGAGCAAGAGATAAGAGCTGAAATCAGGCCTGAAAATTTGTTCTGAAACCAAATATCGCCTGAGAGCAGTCCAATCCAACCAGAACCACGGCGCCAAGTATAGAATCCAAACCTGACCGCAGCCAAACAAAATTCTGTCCAGAGCCTAATCAGACCACCATCAATTAGAGACTGAATACAACTCCAGAATGTGAAATCTGAACCTGACCTGAGCCCCGCAGATTTCTGAACCAGACTGAACCGTACATGACCAGCTGAGTCCTGTCGGGTTCAGACACAGTTCATAGTCTACAAGAGATACTCCAAAACAAGTCACAGCAGGGTGACAATAAGGGAACAGCAGGCTGATCACTATGATCAAAACAAAACTCATCAATAATATTCTATTATAAATCCACCACACAAATACTCTGCATGTGTTTACTTAACAGCATCATGAGATTTGGTGATTTGTGGTTTAACATTTGATGTTGTTTCTCTGCAGTTGCACTTGTCTGCTCAGCTCTCAAGGCAGGGAAAACAAACACACACACTGATGGAAGCATTAAGCAGAAACGCTTGCTGATTCTCTGCGGCCAAAAATCGGAAAACTCTGTGGAGAGGAAAAGGGGAAGAAAAATGACGCACAAAAGCACTCAAAGGGATTTTTAAATGTAGTTAACAATAACACGATGTGATGAAGCACTTTCTGCGCAGATCAACACTTGATCACGCCCAAAATAAAAATGAATAAACCTCATCCCATTAGGATCCTGATCCAGTAAGCGTGATGAAGACAATGCCTCTGTAAAATGATAATGGCTTTTTCTTCAGGTCATCTCATCACACGGTTTAAATAGATTAATCCAATCATGGCCGTGCAATCTCTTCTGTAAAATCGGACACCGCCTGGGAGCTGCTGGCCACATTACAGGTGCGCTGGCAGAGAAGAAGTCCAGTAGGTCATAGCGCAATTTCTTCATCTTCAGAGCCACACTGTCTGTGGTGGATGATGCAAACATAAAGCAAACATGTACAAAGAGATACGTGCAGTTTTACCATCAAAACAGTCTTGCTAATGGCTAGTAGACAGGCAGGAGTAGGGGACAGAAAGCCATAGCTCAGTTCTGTTCTCACAACAAAGCTATTTTTGCTGGATGAATGGATTGTTTTTTTATTTTTTATTTTTTTATTGAGATGGGATATTAAGCTTATTATATTAAGCTTACTGGAAATAATAATAATAGTAACTTTTCCACAAAAAAATGACGTTTACATTAAAAAGACATCTAGTCTGTTAACTGCTCCACTAATATCTATAAAAATTTCTATTAAAACAATACGCTTAAAAATTTAGGTGCTCAAAAGGGTTTTTTCGGTGTGATCTTGTAGAAGAACCACTTTCGGTTGAGGGGAAAACTTTCAGTGGGTGGTTTATTGAAGAACCATTTTTTGTAAATGAGAAGTTTAAAGAACCTCCACATAATGTAAAAGTTTTAGGAAAAACCCTTAAATTTGTGTGGAACATTACAGAAGGTTCTTTAAACATTTTAAAGATTCTTCACGCTGTTAAATCTCTTTCAAACATGGTTCTTTAGGCTCCTCTAAAGAACCCTTTTTAAGAGTGTACATTAATAACATTATTAATAATTTCCATGCAAAGACTAAACTTTCAGGGGAACGTTATTTCCTCAGTGCAAATCCAATGTAGTCTGGATCCAACCTTAAATGTCCATTCACAAACCAATAGGTCCAGCATTCCAGCACATGCCTTGTTTTCTAGGTGCTACTAACTAGTGGTCCAGTCCCCCTATGAAAACATTCCAGACTGCGCTGAAGAATTGATCCAGGTTGCTAAGGGGCAGCCCACTGACCCAGTGAAAGATCTTGTATTCTAAAGGTTAATTCTAGAGTCAAGGGTTACCAGGAAACACAAAGGAAAATCACACTGGACACAACAAAGCGTAGCCAATTCTCTCTCTTTTGTGCTGTTTGAACACGTCTACTTGCTAACAACTTACAAAGTATCTCTATTAACGTAGTGCTGTAAGGCTAAATATTGGATGCAAAATATTGGATGCAAATGTTGGCTGAAATATTGACCTCTGCTTTATAACAGGGCAAAAGGCAGCAATCAGAGGATCCCATTAGCAGAATACAGTGAAATAACTAGTATTTCTAGTGCAGCAATCCTACTGAGAATGCAAGTGCTCAAAGAAATCTCATTTCAGTGAGCACGGTGCTCAATCTCAGACACTGCTGTGAAGTGGTGTGTCTGGCACACTCTGTTAGTCACACTTAATTATCACACTCATAAGATCAGTCAAAATAATCACAAATTATTTTTGTCAAAAATGTGCATGTCGCATAGAAATAGCAGCGCTTCAGCCATGCGTTTTGGCACACTGCAAGAAGGAATGTTGCAGTTTGACTTTTTCACGCTATGATAACCAGGTCAAAAAATATCACAGTATTACGGTATTAGGCAAACACTTAAAAACACACAAAAAGGTGGAGGAAATTAAAGGGAAATATGTTATGAAACATGAATATGCTTGTAATTTAACAAAGTGCATTGGCATTTTCCTTGAACATTAGTTTTAAGAATTTTTTTTCTTTAGAAAATAAGATTTTCTTTATTTTTTGTGAAGTGAGTTCTTCAGGTACAATACACCTTTGTACATCACAGTGTATGAAATAAACAATGAACAAAAGAAAACAAAGATTTAACCACATTTAAAGTGTTACTTTCTAAGACATCTGTAGGTCGCTGTGTTTACGGTAGTGGTTATCATGGGGTTAAAGCCCCAGATGGCTGCCCAAAAGTTAAACAGCTAATTTGCTAACATTTTTGCATGGAATCTCCCATTTTGTAGTTCTGTATTTTGCTATTTGCTATTTGAGAGGTTAGTTAGATTTCTGTTTACACATTCTTACAAACAATGTCTGTACCTCTCTGTGCTGTTGGCTGGCAGTGTGCAGCTCTGAACCAAGCAACTTTTGTAGATTAATGTTACACGATTATTAGTTAATTATTATAAAAGGTTAAAAACAAAGCACACTTTTTGCTTCATTTCGCTTGACTGAGCTGTGAAAGAGCCGTCACAGATTTGCAAAGTTGTTTGGTTTACTTATGGCCAGCAATGCCACGTGTGATATGACTAACTTGCAGTGTTGCATCTCCTGGCACTATGAGGTCCACATTCCCTGCAACCAGGCTGTATTCCAGTACAGATTACAGATTACCTGTTACAAATTGAATCTGTATTCTAATCCAAAGGATTATATATTGAAGTACTATATTAAAATGTTTCTTTTGGGTTATTTGTATTTTAAAAATGTTATGTACTTAAAATAAAGATGAGAAAAAAATAATTAATCTAGATGAATTTAATCTTACTGTAAAACTGTATTACTAACCAGCTGTTCAATTAAGACATACAACTATATTGGAATACTGGAATAGTGTGTCCCCTCAGATTTACATTCCTATTTTGTCCAGTTTTAGTTGATATTGTCCATCAGTTATGGCTGTGTGTTACTATTCCGTCTGATTAATTTACTGTGACGAATGGAAAAGTTTTTATCTAAACTCGAGTTTTTTAGTATTTACCTTACCTTGTCAGTTATAAGTTAACATTGTTGCCATGGTAAACAAAGACGAACACAGATCATCACTATAGTGATGAGCGCTTTTGATGTAGTCCTGCTAGTAGTGATCTGATTTTTATACTGTCTATAATCTGATAACTGCCTTTCTCTGTAACTGTAGTGGAATACAGTTACCCATTCTGTATCCTGATTATGTAACAGCGCTACATGTATCCTGTTACTACTCAATCCTGTGTAAATCGTGACACCAAAACAACCCTAACTGTGAGCTCTATTACTATTACTGCTGTGTGTGGCCTCTTCCACAGCGTATAGTAAAGTGAACAGGAACCAGCTATCCAGAAGCTTATCACTGCACATGCTTATCATTGCACACAATCAGTGTGACCCATAAAACCCCTCTCTCTCCCTCATATCCTTCAGTTTCTCCCATCCCAACTTTCTCCAGCTCATTGCATATGTGTATGTACCTACTTTAAGCCAATGTGTGCAGCCCAAGCTCAGATTAAAAAAAATCCTTTTCTCTTTTTGTCTCGCCTCCCCCACCTCTCCTTTCTCTCTCTCCTAATCCATCTAGTGGGGTCTCTACCTCCTAGCAGGAAGAGCAAGAAGAAAGGGAGCAGAAGAAAAGGGAAGCAAAAGGAAGAAAGGAGGAGTCAGCTGGGTATCAATTCACTTAACAAACGCCCTTTCTCTCCTTGCAGACCAGAGAGGCCAGTGTTACCTTGAGTGAGAGAGAGCGAGAGAGAGAGTGAGAGAGAGAGAGAGAGAGAGAGAGAGAGTGTGAGAGAGAGACTGCTACTCTCAATCAAACATCCCCCAATCACTATTCCCTACACTGGTCGATCAGGATCACTATATATAACTATTATGGGGGAAAAGGAATTCATGTCCGAGATGCTCAATATCACTGTTCCTTTTCCCGTATTGATATTGAAACCTTGAGTAATGACTGACACCAAGCCAATATTTTTCCTTTCAAAACTACTAAGCTTTAAATTGAGCTGTTTTAATTAAATCATTTCATGCACATCTACAAGTAGTCTATCATGCTTAACCTACTTTAGAACTGAAAATCGTATTGAACCTGAAAACATGCATGTAAGCTTTGTGCATGGCACAAACATTAACATATTAATATTAACATATAAACAAAATTCATATTCAGGCGCTCCTTATTTACACTATATCAAAAAATCCACCTTATTGTTTTGAAAGAAATTTTGAATTTTGTGTATTGTTACAACCCTAATTTAGAGAGGCCAGAGAAGGCAACCAATGGTCAGAGATATGCACGCACTGAGCTGACACAGTGCAAATGATTAAACATGTGGGAGAAGTGCTACATTCTCTTATTAAAAG